AGGTCATTCATAAGAAGCAGGGCATGCACTCAGCCCCATACTTTTCTCCTCTCTTCTAAACCAAGAGCACCACAGTGAAGATGAGTTACCAGCAGGAAACCAGTGGGTGACTGCCATCATGCCTGTATCACAGCAATAGTACAGAGGGAACGCAGAATTTGGGGGGATTTTTAAGGAGTATAATTTTGTGCTTTTCCTGATTAGAAAATGCATTAAAAATAAATCTTTGGAGGGCCATCTATGAGAGAAGGCAAGAAGGTTCATAACCACATTTATGTGAATCCCAAATTTAAAAATACATCTCAGATGAATGAGAGGGAATAAAACCTGTTCTGGTGAGCCCTGCTCCTCAGGAACCGCCATTTGCTGGGAAGGAGGCAAACTGTTATCAGGGAAGTCTGCTGAAGGGAGAGCAATTTCCCCCAGTCAGAGTGAAGCATGACATACACCACTCTTAAATCATTTGTATTTTACTTTTTTATGATGCAATCGTGAATTAGCTTTTTCTGCATTTGTAATTAGAGGCTAGAACAGATGGTCAGGGCTTAGTTCAGGGCGATAAATCCATTAAGATAACCTACAGAAAGCTGCTGCTACTGCGGTTGCTGCCAAATAACTGTTCATTCAAAGCTTTGTTCACGCTCTGGGTACTGGGTGGAAGAAGAACCAGCCCAGTTCTTCACTACCTTGAGGTACAAGGGATAAAAATCACACACAAGTTTGGGGAATTGTCCTGGGTTCAGCAGTAGCAGTCATTTTTCTCCTTCTTGGTAGCTGGCGCAGTGCTGTGTTTTGACTTTCGGCCTGGGAACAGAGCTGATAACAATGATGTTTTGGTCTGGCCAAGGACTTTGTGAGCCTCATGCTCTGCCAGGGAGGAGGGGAAGCCGAGAGGAAGCAGAGACAGGACACCTGACCCAAACTGACCGAAGAGGTATTCCATACCACAGCACGTCATGCCCAGGATGTAACTGGGAGTTAGCCGGAAGGGCTGGGACTGCGGGGCTGGAGGAGGTATCAGTCAGAGCTTGGTCGGGCTGGGGGGGCCAAGTTATCGGTCGGCTGGTGGTGAGGTGATGTATTCTCTTCCCTTGTTATTTCCTTTATCATTGTTATCATTGGTGGTAGCAGTAGTGATTTGTGTTATACCTTAGTTACTAAACTGTTCTGATCTCAACCCGTGAGAGTTGCATTCTTTTCGATTCTCCTCTCTGTCCCTCCAGGAGTAGGGGGAGGGCAAGAAGGGGGGGAGTGAGTGAACGAGTTACCTGACTGGGTTTAAACCACGACAGGAATGCATTATTTCTGTCTATGTGGCTCAAGAAACTTTGTGGTATGATACAGAGAATGCATGAGGCAATCCAGGGGAGAAGCCTGGAGATGCTGCTTCCCAACAGCTGCCCCTGCAGATACACTCACTCTATCCCAGAGCGTGTGTCTGCTTTTCCAAGTGGATGAAATTTAGCTGAACAGGCAGCCTGGTTGCAGAACAGAGTTCTCTATCAAGGAGTGATTGCAAAATATGCATTTGATTTTGAATTCATGTCTTCACCCATTTTGCAATAAATTTCTCAAAGCATGAGAATCCTAGAATAGTTTATGCTGGACAGGACCTATGGACAGCATTTGGTCAATCAAACTCAAAGCATTTGTCACAATGGACCAAACCTGTAGGTCCCTTCCAACTGGAACTAATTTCTCTCCTCTCCTCTCCCCTCCCCTCTTCTCTCCATCTCTTTTCCTACCATATTATATTCAAATCCTAACCTTAGGCTCCAGCAGAAGGTTCCTGCTTAAGCTAGTCCTCAACTATGACCTATATTTTTTGCCCAAAACAGAGGTCAGGCAATTAGGTATCCTAAGGCTTATGATTAGCAAAAAGAGATCTTAAATCATAAAGCAAACAAGGCAAGAAATTGTGTGTTCACTGTTTCTCATGGCGTCTTTGACCTGAATCACATCAAGCTACTCTGCAAATGAATCTCAGCAGAACCCATGGGTCAGCTTCATGGAGGTTCAGATCTGTGTTAAGGCTCTCTGCACCTCTGGAAACCAGCAGTATCCTTTTCCAAGACTCTGCTATCAATCATTTTTGCTGAAATCCCTTCCCACTACTGGAATTCAGCACTGGAGCATTACCACGTATCTTTGGATAGCACTGCCATATGGAAACAGTATCTCCATACTCAGAGTTTCATAACATCTGAGCAGCTAGAAACTAGCTGTGGAGTTGTATCATAGAGGAGAAGAAAGACTCTGCTGTGGAAGGATGTGGAGCTCCTGTCATCATCTCCTACATAAGCAGTGAAGATTTGTGTGGGGAAAATAGAGCCTGCCACAGATACAGCCTACCCACTGAAGTACGTGCTCATGCTGGTCCCCTTTCCTTCATTCTCCAGGGACTTGGGCACACAGTGCCGCTACACAGGACAGGTCTGAGCTAAATTCTTGTACATTGAATGTTTCAGTGGAACATTCCATAGGAGGGGACATACATTACATATGACAAAATGAGCAGGAAACCTGATTGCATATAAGCACATACAAAATACAAACACCACTATTTCTGTGTTTCTTCTGCACGTAGTAAGGTCGAGGGGCTTTATTAACAAAGGCTGCTTAAGCAGAGGTCTGCATTTGAACAAGGGTTCATTTGATTTCTGCTCCTCACTGCTTCCTGGCTGACTGCTCAGTATCTGCCAGCGTAGGCATTATGTGATGCTCTGCTTGTCCCCAAAGCTGTCAGTCAGCACAGAGCCTGGGCTGGGAAATGGTTGGATCCCAAATAAATATTAGCAGGATAGCCTGGACCGTGACCGCTCCCCTCCTCTTGTCACCTTCACACACCAACGCACATGATGCTGCTGCTGCCTCGGAACAAAGTAATGCTACAAGAGGAATTGGGGAGCTTCTTCCCCATCTACACACCTCTAATACGACACTGTGCTTTTGATGAGTGACCCTTCCCTGGATGCAGCTTGTGCCTGTGCTGGATGGAGCCAGGTGATGTTTTTAACAGTAAACCCGCTGAATTACTATTCAGGGAGAATCTACTTGGAAATTTACATAATGTAGCTAGGGGAGACTTTTGAACTGCTTCCCCTTGTGCATGAGGGAAGGAAAAAGGAGGAAAATTAAGTAACAGCCTAATTGGCTTTTATAACAGTCTATGGGGAGAGATGCAGGACAGTTCTCTGCCTAGCTACGAGGCTTGATATGTGCTGTAACCATGGGAAGCAACATTAGAGGCATGACAGGACAATGATTTGGTTTTTCAGCACTGAAGATGTGAAAAATGAAATACATCCAGCCAGGAGTTGTTTTCTGCTTGAGGAAGACCTGTCATGCAGGTTCAGAGGACTGCAGGTCAGGCTCCTGTTGGAGGGAAGAATGGAGGACGCGCTCTGCTGGCGCACCACCTCCAATGTGGATCACAGCTGCTGGGGTGAACAGGATCTGCCTCTTCCACCACTGTGCTCATTTTAACCGAGGAGTGCCTTGCAGTAAACTGGGTAACAGAGAGGACCACCAGCCTAATGCCTCCTGCTCCTTCTGTGCCTGCTGCTCCCCTGCGTGCACAGTCCAGGCACCAGCCCCCTCCTTCAGAGCCCAAAGAAGATGGCACAACAGCAGACCTGAGTTCAGCTCCCACTGCCTCAAAACCACTGCATTTTGGGACACGGCAGTAACAGGGAGCTAGCTACAAGGAAGATATTGATGGTTCATTCGTCATTGGATTTTGTCTTCAAAAAAGCGCCCGTTAAATCAATGTCAATTACATTAAAACATGCAAGTTTCAGGACTAATCACTTTCTCTCACCCGCCTTCATTTCCCAGATACTTCAGGGAGAACTCCATTGATTACCTGCTCTCCTCAGCAGCAACCACTGCCTGAGATCAAGGCCAGGAGGAACAGGAGGGAAATGCCACCCTCCCACAGCTGAACCAGAGACAGTAGCAGTGAGCACTGGGAGTGACGCCATCCCCTGCCAGCACTTTCCAGGCCTAAGCCATTTGCCAGAACCGGGGAGTGTCAGATTGGGTCTGTCCTCAAAACAGGCTCCCTAAAATGTTCCAGTTCCCTCCTAAACCATGGCTAAATGACTGATAGAAGCCCTCTGCCAGCACTGTGAGCTCAGGCAAAGCTGTCTCCTTCCTGCCCAGCAGTGCTGCTCTCCTACCACCCTGAACCATGGTCCTGAGGACTCACAGGCACCATCACATCCCCAGGGTTTTTATCAAGGTACTCTTCACTCCACCGTGCCTATTTGTGTAGGACAAAGCCATTAATCAGCTGTATGTCCCTCTCTCCCCTGCCACTGCAGGCAGCGAATGCAATCACCTACAAGCTTTGCTGCTATCTGTCTTCTGGTGCATGAGAATTTGATTACAGCCATGGTACTGTATATGGTGTGCTGGATGTCCTCAGCTGCCATTGAACTCACAGTCTTAGGTATGAGGATGGTTCAGTAAGGGTGTGTATACACAGGACTGATCACACACCACTATTTTTTTGCTTTGATTTTAAAATCAGGCTAGAAGAATTAGACTAAAAAGAAAGTAACTTTGTTTTAAAACACCATTTGTTATCCAGTGCAACCAAAACAGTACCTTCCACACTGTTCAGTGATGACCTAATTCCAAATCAGAAATGGAGCTGTAAGGGAAAAAAACCCAGACAACAGCATTAAGGCTTAACCTGGAAAACTACCTTGTGTTTAGGTCTACCTTTTAAGGCCAGAAGCCTGCACCAAACCACGTGTCCTATTACAGCTATATTTATAGAACAAGCCAAAGCAGCTGTGACTGCAAATCACACCATGTTCTCAATCAATACAACAAAGAGCAACGCCTCCAAGATGCGTTTTAAGAGCACTTTCGCGTGTAAACACCAGGCTTGTTCTCCTTAAATACAACTGAGAACAGCTGCAAGCAAAAGCCTCGACAGGATAATGCTGCATTTTAAGCTGAGCTCTTAAAGAAGCGATCGAAACCTTTACTTGCAAGTGCTGCATTGGTGTTTAAGGGCTGCTCTACTCATAAGGCGCACTTACTCAGGCTCAACGCATGGTCGAGACATAGAACACGGTGGGGCGGGACCGGGAGAGACGCCGGACGCGGCGTCTCTCCCGGTCCCGCCCCACCGCTATGGCGTCTCCTGTGCTCCGGAGGATGCTCGGGAGTTGCCGCCTCCTCTTCCTCCTCCATAGAGGAAGCTCTAGCAGCAGCACCACCCGCGGTGGCACAGGTACGCTCTGCCCGGACCATGGGGAGATGGGGGGAAAGGGCAGCCCCCTGCCCTGCGATGGGAGGGTATCCCCGACCCTGGTGTCCTCTAGCTGCTCGGAAAGGGCTATATCAGCTTCTTGTAGGTATTTCTCTTGAACTGGCAGGCTAAATTATAGGTGTTTACAGTTAAACTGTGATTGCAAGTTTTATTTCCCCCCTTCCCCGTATCACCTCTGCATTGCCAAAGGTGAGTCCAGGCAAGCATTTATCACTCGGGCTGATTTTTTTTTTCCAAGGATCCTGTGCTGATGAGCAGTAAGTGTGGAGATAGTTCCCTACCTCACACTTCCGATTAGGAAGGCATGAAACTGTTCTATTCATTGTTTTTCAGACAATCTATTCATTCTTTTCTAATCCCATACCACCATAAATGTTCTGTATGGTGTGTACAGACTCACACACTCTTCAGCCTGAAGAAGAGAAGGCTGTGTGGAGACCTCGTAGGAGCCTTCCAGTATCTGAAGGGGGCCTACAAGGATGCCAGAGAGGGATTCTTCATCAGGGACTAGCGACAGGACAAGGGGTAATAGGTTTAAACTTAAACCGAGGAAGTTTAGATTGAATATAAGGACGAAGTCCTTTACTGTAAGGGTGGTGAGGCACTGGAATGGGTTGCCCAAAGAAGCTGTGAATGCTCCATCCCTGGAAGTGTTCAAGGCCAGGTTGAACAGAGCCTTGGGCAACCTGGGCTAGGGTGAGTCGTCCCTGCCCACTGCAGGGGGTTTGGAACTAGATGATCTTATGGTACTTTCTAACCATAAACATTCTATGATTATATGATTCACAGGAGGTATTGCTGGACGTTTTGCACCATTATGGGATTATGCTCTCCATTTCTGTGTCCCTCAGAACTATGGCCCTATTTCTTTTGGGCTGTAGGTGTTTCTTTCTTTCAGTGCTTCTTATCACCACTTCACAGAGGCCTGTGGAAGTTGCTAGCCTTTGACAGCCCATCAGTGAGCATTAGTTGCGGTGTCTGAGGGTTTCCAAGAGGCAGACTGCCAAAGCTTTCAGTGGTACCCAGGGAGGAGGAAGGAGCACCAGCACACCAGCAGTTGTTCTAAGCCAGCGCAGAGGGCTGCACTGCCCAGGTGGATGGTAACTTGGGTGGTAGGTGCCCACTTCCAATCAGAGCCTTCTTAGGTAGTGTGCTGGAGCTGCTCTCCCTATGTTGCACACAGAATGGAAAGCAGATGCAAAGTCCTGTGCTCACCCCTGCTCTTATGCCTCTAAACTGCCTTCCTGTGATCTGCCTGTACCCATAGAAACTTTGGGAGAATTGAGGTGATGATAGAAAGCATGAACAGAGTCTAAGCTGAAATGGTTTTAAAATTATTGTGAATTGTCTTTCTGTATCTAACTGAAGGCTCAGGCTCTCTGACTAAACAAGCTGAAGCAACTGCTGCTGCAGACTGGAAAAAGAAATTGACTCCAGAGCAATTCTATGTTACAAGACAAAAAGGAACTGAACCGGTAAGCAAAAGCATTAATGCTGTCCAAGGTTAAGCCACCTCCTCTGCCTACTGGGCAGAGAAAAACCTGCTGCAGGGAGCTGTCACAACTCAGTTGCTTCCTCCGCCTTCCTGTGGATGGAAGGTAGACTCAGCATACTGAATTGGGTGGATTCTGTTCTGATCCAGACTGGTTTGAGGATAAAAAAAAAAATTGTACGTTCTTTTCATATTTTGGTGATTTTTTTTCCTCTGGGATACTCTACTGCCAGCTCAGCCATCTGTGTGGCAGTAGTGGAGACCTCCCCAAAGGGGAGGGAGAAGATCACACTTTGGTCCTATAGTCTTTTTTAGACCATATGTAGATTAGCCATAGAAATCTTATACATAGCACTCCATTCAGGAGCTGGGTTATCCCTCATGTGCCATGTCACCACCCACCTTGTCCCTGTGCCTTGCTTCTTTCTGTGATGGAGGCCAAGTAGAATTGTGGGTGTCCCCAGCCCAAAGCCAGGGCTTCTGCGTGCATGGAGCATGTACCATGAGATTAAACCATGTGAGCCGTGCCAAATTCTTTATCTATAAAATAAGGATCCCAATTCCAGACCATTCAGGGAGAAGAGAGTCCCTTTGTAGAGCCACTTTGAAGTCGTGGCACTCCACAGCAGAGCCCTGGTCTTTGGGATGCTGCACATTTCACAAGTTCCTCGGAGGTCATGACTCCAGCCCTGGTACCTGGATGATTTATGCATCTGACTGCTCTCGAAGTTTCTGGGGGCAGGGGGTAGTCTTCACTGTTAATCCAAAGGCATCCTGCCCTTCATTTCTTTAGGTTGCTAATGTTTGTTCTTCAAAGCCCCCCTGCGAAGCCTTCTTTTTATAGTTTTTCTCCTGTTTTGAATCTGATTCCTACATGCTCGTTCCAGATGGTGAGCTTAAAAGACCTACATTATTAACTTCCCTTTTTTTTCTTCCTTTTTTTAAAGCCATTTAGTGGGATCTATCTGAATTACACAGAATCGGGAATATACTGCTGCGTGTGCTGCAATGCCCCACTGTTCAGGTAACACCTTTTCACAGCATCCTTAAAATGACCGAACTATGACAGGAGGAGGAATAAGAGGAATAGGAAGCTGCCAGAGTGCTATGTACAGGATTTCCAGGATACCTGTGGTGATACAGGCACAAGATAGGCCCTTTTCTTGAGCATATGAGGTCTCCAGTGGGCAGCAGGCAATAGCTGGTACTTTAAGGTCTGCCTTTGATTCCTGCCACGCACACTGTCCTTCTTGATTGATTATAATTCTCTGTTTAAGAGGTCCCTAAGCCATAAGCTGCCACAAAATACACGTATTTATGTGTGAATATCACAGTATGTTTGCTCTGTTCTCGTGCTCTTCCACGGCTGTCTTCTGCCACTTATGCTGCTGGGCTAACAGACTTTTGGTCTGCTTTGGTCTAGATGTTATGTTCTTACTGCTGGGTCCCTTGTACTGGATCTGAGATCTTCACCTCCACCCCCTTCTTGCTCCCTAAATTAAATTCCACTATTTTTGCCCTTTTGATTACATTTGCTTTTTAAAACCTGTCTGTAAACGACCGTGCTGTTAACCTCTGTGCTCTTTACAATACAATATATTTTGCAACTTCATTAAAGTCTAAGTAAAAGGAAACAGAATGCCTCAGAGTAGGATATTCAGAAGGTGTTCTGTTCTCTGTAACTGAACCAGAAAAGACAGTTCCTCATATTTTTGATCTAGAAAATAGCCTTTATTTATCCCCAGCTGAGAGTTCCGTGGAATATGGCTGATATGCCCATTTTTATGAAGACTTTAAAGGATGCATCACAGATCAGAACTTCAACGGGAAGCTGAGGAACAAGAGATCTGGACAGTAAGAAGGGGGGGGAAAGGTAATGGCTGTATTAAAAATAAACCTAAACCAAGCAATTAAATGGTAAAATTGGAGGCTGATAATTGTGAACTGTTAGTTATCCTTTGGCCAAGTACAGAAAGCTGTTGTTATGCAAATGAACATTTGCTTAAATATATCTTTTTCTTTAGAGGTTTGATAATAAACACTTTTAAGTACATTTACTTCAGAACCTAGAACACATTGCAGAGTATTCTGAAGACAAATGCAAAATCTAAAAATACCTCTGAAAAATTCAGGTAAATGAGAGAAATTTTAAATTATTAAGCTGTGCAAGAGTTCCTTCAGTTCCCTCAACTATTCCTTCAATTTAGGTTTCCTTTATATTAGACAATAGATATTGACAGGCCAACATGAAGAGATGAGCACTGGAGGGAATTGCTGCTGCTGCTAAACTAATAACAAAACAACAATATCACCAGTCATGCTGCTTTTTGCAGAATCCAGTCTCGAAGAATATAGGCACTTCTGTTTAAAGCATAAAATAATGCTGAGCCTTGCATAGTGACACAGAAAAATTAAACCTCCCACAAACTTACAGAAAAATAAATAATAAAAAAAATTGTTAAGAAAATTGAAAATTACTAAATATTCAAAATGGTCTGAAAATATATTTTCCATGAGTGCATTATGTTGTGGAGGACACTAAATATGAGGGGGGAAATGGTATTTGATAAGAGATTCATTCATTATGTTTATTTCCTAGTGCATTTAAAAAATGCCCTTTCTTTTCCAAATGCATCAGATCATTAGCTACAGGTAAACATGAAGCATTTCCTCCTTTCTTTCAAAGTATACATGTGTGTGTATGCGTTTATACCAGGATTTATTACCTTCTGCTACCAAATACTCATTTGAAAGAGTTGGAAATACATGGAACAAACCCCTGACCTTTATAGATAGCAAATTGTGGTGCTTTAATGAAAACTCAAACCTTCAGCAAACCATAAACCTACAGCTGAGATTCATACAGCAAAAGGCACTTTTTAGAATTATCTGGATTCCATCCAGGACGACTAAAATAGGGATCAAAGTAAATGACATGTGCTGGAGGAATGGTGTGTCGAAGGGTAATCTAATGCATATGTTTAGGGAAAGTCCATTTATCCATAAATTAAGTGGTGAAATACTTCAAAGGGCAAATATGATCTCAAACAGCAATATTTTGGGGAACTAAAATGATTCTATTAGGGAATCTAAGTGATATTACTGTTAGTAAAACCACACAGAGACCATTTCTGTTGAGAGCTAGTTTAACAGTTCACAAGATTGATCCTTTAGCAGTGGAAACATCTACAATAAACTGAAGCATTGTGAGTGGCATGTAAGGGACAGAATCAGTCAGGGTCAGATGCA